CATGCCTTCTTCCAAAAGGCAAGTACATCTGCGCGCCCAGATGGTCATTTCTAGGGCCAAAGGACAGCGACAGCGGGGTCTTTTTCTCTCATTCTTTCACAGCGTGTTTTGTCTTATTATGTGAAGTGCGGGGCTTAAAGTATCATCAATATGCTTTACAGCCAAAAAATGAAGGTCGAGAAGGCCCGGTTCCAGGGCATTGTCTCTTACGAGTACTACCGCTACAGCATGCACTCCTTGTCAGCTAGCCGTTTATCAGACTTTGCTGGCAACTCGTTCTTTGGCTGGAGGAGGGTGCGCATTCTTTTCATAATTACAGTAATGTTCTTGTCTGGGGTTCAAAGCGCATATTCACCAACCTTGATGCTCCGATGCTAGGTTCTCCGCTCCGGTCTTTCTGGCCGGGTTCTTGACCGCGATCGCTGTTTGGCAGCCTGCGAGTCTTGAGTCTTGAGTGAACCTTGCACGGGAAGTTTGCCACCAGGCAAATTAATTTAGTGATTGACAGTGGCAGTGGCCTTTATGAGGGCCGTTGAGGACCGGGCTCCAAAAAATTCAGCAGCCACGGGGACACGGGGTATCTATAGATTTCATTTGCGATTTGCCAGCCTGTCGATTTCAATTGCCAACCAGTTATCCTTCAGAATTGCATGATCAACTTACATCATTGCTTTGCCCCCAATCTCAAGGGTCTTGGGCTTAGGCCAGCCTAGGCAGGGCTAAGCCTAGTTCTAGTTTTGTGTGTTCAGAATGGCTCCTGCTCGCAAGAAGGCACGTGGGGGCGGCTCTGTCGGTGTGGGCCCGACTGATGTCACACCAACAAGCGTGGCGCAGGTTGGGGCATTTCAGAAAGACGTGGCCCTTTGCGTGGAACTCATGTACAGCTTGAGACATGGAGGTGGACCGCAGGGAAAGCGAAGCTTTGATGACATGACAGGTGGTGCTGAGACGTCGGTCAGCTCCGGAGTTCCAAAGCCAAGGCGAGGGTGGCGAGTACGAGTTCCCCCTGTGCAAAGGGGGAACCTTCATCGACATCGCCCAACGCGCTCAGTCTACAACTTGGATTCAAGAGGAGAGCGCGAAGATGTTGCACGCTGCAGGTTTCCTCGATTCAGAGGGCCCACATGAGCTGATCTCTAAATATGCGACTGCCCAGGACCCATCAGGGATTCATTTTCAGAATTCAACTTCCTTCTGTAACCCATCAGGGATTCTTTGCGAAGATGCCAAACAAATATTTCAAGGCAAGTCCCTTAAGCTTGCAGTTTTTAACTTTGTACGGTTACTATGGAAGCTGACACCCACAAGTCCGTTTTGCACCATCAAAAGTGGGTTTTGGTAGTTAGTCGCGGGGGTCAGATTTCATAGCCCAAGCCAGAGTGGAAAATTTGGACTTAAGCTGTTCTTTTTTAGCAATTCCACCAGGACTGGCCTCCTCCTTTGGGAGAACTCTTCCAGACCTCGGTGCTTTGTTGGTCCTATTCAGATGCTTCCTTTTGGAGAGGACGAACTGTTTCCATGGCTGAGGTCATTTCCTATGCGAAAAGCATTGCGCTTACCAGATTCAAGGAGGCTGGCCTGACTCAGAATGCACAAGGTTCTGATTGTAAGATGCTGGGTCAGGTTTGGCAGAGTTGAACTCGTGGGGCTAAAGCTCTAAACCCTAAACGTCGCTGCAAAACAAAATGGGCGAGCATTTTGTTCCTTGATAAATAGTTTAGAAAATAATATTATGAGTGATTTGCTTGGAGAGTTGATTCGGTATCAGCTCTCCAAGTGTCTAAAGCTGCAGGGCTACAAACCCTAAACCCTAAACGTCGCCGCAAAAAATCGCGAGCATTTTGTTCCTTGATAAATATAGTTGAAATTTTAGACAATAATGAGTGGTTTGCTTGGAGAGTTGAATCAGTATCAGCTCTCCAAGTGGAAGGCGTTTCCGGGTCGCAGGGCAGATTTCTCTCCAAACTGGCCTAAACTGAGAAATGTTCATATGGAGAGTTGATACTGTATTAGCTCTCCATGCGTAGAGCAAAGGGACTTCTCCAAATTTTCCATGTTTTTAGATTGAACATGAGACATAAAAGTACCACTACCTCTGTCTAAGCAACAGCTTACCTTTTAGCTTGGAGACTTAATAGTGTATCAGGTCTCCTTTCCAACACTTTGCAGAAAAGTGTGGTTTGGCTAGAAATCCTAGGTCTGATGGTCCAGGGCTTTTGACGCGCTGGTTTTAACGAGTCTTTCCTTGGAGAGCTGATAGGGTATCGGCTCGCCAAGCGTGAACATTGGATTCCTCACCAAGGGTTTGTGCAACGGATTCCTCGCCAAGCATGAGCATTGGATTCCTCGCCAAGGGTTCACGCAACGGATTCCTCGCCAAGCGATTGCAGACTTGAATGGGATTCCAAGCTGGTTCTGCTTGGCGAGGAATCCGTTGCACAAACCCTTGGCGAGGAATCCGTTGCGCAAACCCTTGGCGAGGAATCCGTTGCGCAAACCCTTGGCGAGGAATCCAACGCTTAAAATAGCATTTTGTAAAGGCTTAAAGTTACCACTTCTAAAAACGATGGTTTTGTTCAAGGGATGGGTTGCATTTTGAGCGTTGTGAGAACACCTTTCAAGACGATTTCAATAGGAGACCTACGAGGATTGAACATCCGAAGGTTCAAAGTATATAATAGTAGTTTCAAACATGAGGCCCCTGGATTTAATAATCCTTTTATATCCTTTTCTCCATTGCTGGGTTTGCGATGTCCTTTTCTGAACCAATGTTGGAAGGGAGAGATCGTTGTCGCCCGCTTCTTGAGCTGGCCCCCATCGGATTTGGGTGATGGAAACAGCATCTTTGGCAAACTGCTGTTCGGTGACGGCTCTCATAAATGCTGGGCGCTATGAGTGTTTGGCTTGGGATGTTGATGTGCTGGAGATTTCATGGGTCCAAGGGCCTGCAGAATGATTTCGCGATCGGTATGATCAGCAGCCTGTGGCAGATACCCACTACAATCAAGGCGACTGAAGCTCATGAAAGCCAACTAGAGGGAGTGATCAACAGAATTGTTCAGCAGAACATCAACGCAAAGGTACAGCCTGTGTCGAGCTTTGCTTGGAGTGCCATCCTCAAGACGGTTGCCTGTGATGATGCATCTGTCAGCTTCGAAGAGGCGTTGGCCAAATATAACGGCCATTGAGATGTCCTAGCCCACGACCGTGGGGAGTCCGGCACGGGCGCCATTTCTTTGGATGGCCGCAAACGTCAGGCTGTGAAAAATTGGATGGATAGATGTTCCAGAGGTGCCTTTGATGAAGTGTTGACGTCGAGGCGTTTGCCCTTGGTCCGTACGGCGAATCTTTCGGATACACGAACGCATGGTTTCTGCAGTCAAGGGCTGGCTTGGAGCCTGGTGATGGTTGCGACGTGGGGCCCACGCCTGGTGAACAGTTCATCGAGGCATTATGTAATTTCCCAAAGTTGCGGCCCCGATGTCATCCTTTCTCTCCCTTGCATAGAGAAACATAGTCGTGCATTTTGGGCTTGTTCCGAGACATTTGGACTGGGCAACAGTTCAAATCATAGAGGGTTTCAAAATTTAAAAAACAGATTGTGTTTTTTGTTACGATTAGCAAGTCTAACACTTGACAGATCGCCTTACACTAAAAAGTGTTCCTTTGTTGGTTTTGACAAACCGTTGCGAGGTGGATTGGTCCCTCCCTATGACACCAACGGCCCAGCAGTTGTTCTTTGAGCGGATCCGCACTTCATTCACTCGGTTCACAGTTGGCATCCCCGTTCACTCCAACAAGAAGTACAGGCAATCCCAGGAGTGGACACCTCGTTGTTGACTTGAACTTTGTGAAACAGGGTACACGACCAACAGGTTCTTGACGGCCAAAATTGACACTCCCGTTTTTTTCCAACAATGTTGCCCGTTTTCAGGAGGCCTATGCTCGGGTTGTCTCAGTCGCGAAGATGGATTTGATGATGAGCAAACTCTCCAAGTTCAAGAGTGCGGTTGTTGCTTGTCACTGAAAGAAACAAGGTTTTGTGGCGTGGGGCTTGGAGTCACAGATTGGTTGATGCTGGTTCCAGTCACTGATAGTTTTTTGTTTCCCCTTCATCATTGTTCTTCTCCGACTTTGCCATAATTCAGCCCCAAGGCTGCAGACTCTGGCCTGAGCTTGGAGGATGTGGCAGTGTTGGGATGGGGTGACCTGAACGCGCCTCACGCGCGTAAGAAGGAAAATTGTTTGGCCATCTGCCGGGGATTGGCGGCAATCAACGAAAGTCACCCGGCCAAGTGCGCTTCCACGCTGACTCTCCCAGATTTGCCGCGCGATTCAAACCCGCGACTGCCGTTGGATTGAAGTCTATGCCCGCGAGTCGAAGAAAGCTGACTTAAGGTCCAATTCCAGAAAGTTTGGATCTGGACGGCTCATCACATCTTCCAGCATGGTTGACGAGAACGTGTGGCTGAGCTCAGAACTCGCGGTCTACGGGCGAGTTGTAGGACCCAATGAACTTCAAGAAGGGGGAGCTCCATTCGCAATCCTGCCTCGCAGTGCGCAGCTCCTGATCCCAGAACCGGCCTCACCGGATTCCTGGTTTTGCTAATCCATCAACACTTTTTTGATTGATGCATAAGTTAGGGTCAGGCTAGTGGTTGTTTTGGGGTCCAGTCGAATGATCTCGGACCGTCTCCGGCCAAGCTCGGAGCAAATGTCAGCCCAGAAGGGCGCGAAGCGGCTGGAGATGCTCTTAGAGCCTGCCTTGCGACATTGCAAGGTGCAATGCGTCATCATTTGCAACCTCACTGGCTACGTGGAGGAGCTGGCCGTGGCTGCCCCTCAGTTCTGAAACAGTAACAGATTGAAATCTTTTCTGAGGGAGGCATCTGTTTTTTACCAGTTTTTGATGGTTGTTTGAAACCAGGGCTGTGGATTTTGGTTCAGGTGATGAACCTCCGCCTCAAGAAAAGCTTTGGCGAGGGCAGCCACTTGAACCCAGAGAAATTGTATTATCCCAGCGTGCATTCCTTGGATGGCGTAGAGGGCTTCAAGTATGCCCGTGATCGGGTCTACAGGGATCTACTAGACTTGTGGCTGGAGAAGAAGATCAGCTACGCTGGAATTACTTTTTCCGAGACAGACGAGGTTTTGAGTGAGGAGGAGAGGGTTCGAAAGTTTGGGCCATGTTTCACAGCGACAGTCGACCAACAGTTTCTACACTTGATTTGCCCTTCATCGGATTTTGTTGAAACTAGATTGATTTGGGTCAGGAGAAGAAGGACATTGAAGGGCTCAAGTATCTGGACGCGCCAGAAGGCATGGACTTGCAGGTCTTGGTGCGGGATGGCTGCGAGTTCAAAATTCACCCGGACCAGAATCGCCAGTGGACTAACACAGGTGGTGAAGTAGCCAAAGAGTATCTGAGTGAGTGAGTGAGTGAGCGAGCGAGCGAGGGAGTGAGTGAGGGAGTGAGTGAGTGAGTGGGTGAGTGAGTGGGTGAGTGAGTGAGTGAGTGGAGTGAGAAGCGCCGGCTTCCAATTCCACTACGAACGAGTCTGACAAGACTGATCCGGCTGCTGTGGTTGCCGCTGATGTCCCGTGCGAGGCAGAGGTGAAGATTCTTGAGAGCTTGGAGTCCTTGAAGGGGGCCGAGGAGATTTTGGTGAGGTGCGCAAGTGCGCAGGCGTTGAGACCCTGAAGACCAAAAGCAGCAAAGCCTACCTCTTGTGTGACAAACGCCGCATTCTGCCGAAGCATAGCTTGCTTGGCGGCTATGGAACGGGAAAGTCTTTTGGCTCTTAATGTTTAATATTTCCAAGACGCACGATATAATTGAACCGGACCAGTAGTTTGTTTTTATGCCGGATGCGATTGAGCCAGTAATTAACTTATGTTTTTTGACATATCAGAATCAATTTCTTGGAACATGTCAATCAAAAGTGACTCTGAGCTCATGTTTCATGACATCTATATAGTTGATCATTAACGATCTGAGGTATGTTCCTGTCGAGCCTGGAGCGTCGGCAGAAGAGGAGGGCAAGTACCCAGGCTTGGATTGGGAAGATGGCGACAAGACGACCATACAAGTAGACATGTCATCGCTTCAGCCCGAGTCCACAGCCCAGGAGACCATGACCATATACAAGTATTTGCTGATGTTGGAGAGAACTAAGAAAGTGACAGAGTACAGCTTGAGCTACAGCGTACGCACTCGCAGGGCGACTTCAGGAGCGGACGGTTTCGACATTGCGGCAAAAAACAAGCACACGTACAAGACTCTTCCTGATCTCAGCAAGCCACTGACGTGCAAGAGTGTCTTTCACGACTGTGCTCCAAGGGTGAAGGCAAGCAAAGCCTGCCTCACCGTTTTCCGATTTCGGTATGACCGTGTTCATGCAGTGGCAAAAGTCCAAAAGCCGTACATCTTTTCCAAGGTAGCGCTCACCTTAGAGCCTGGCAAGCCAGTGGAGTTGTTTTGAAAACATGTCATTGTGTGTGTGTCCATGTGTGTCCACTACTTCCGAAGGCTGAGGTGCCACATGTTTGTGTACGGCCTGACAAACCCTAATGCTATGTTGAACTATTTTGCGTTTGCGGCTGGCTTGGCAGAGTTCAAATGTTGGAGCCAGATCCCAGGATGTTGGATTTGATTCTATCAAGCGCTCGTTCCCAAGTTTTCGAGATAAGAACTGTGGTTTTGCAGTTGGGATTTGACTTGATCCTGTCAGTCTTCTGAACGATTGCCTTTTGGAGCAAAAGTTTGACAGCGGTCGGCGTGGTGAGAGCTTCGGATGTGTATGATTTTTTCATCGGTGAGCTCAGAGCCTCAGTCACAGTGACTGAGATTGTCCCAGTGGTTCCTTCACTTCATTTGATGGAGGCCCAAGCCTTTCATAGATACGATAGATATCGATAGTCATGAATTTGAATTCTGTGACTTGGAAAGAGTCTGTTCGGGCTGCCGCTTTGCGTCGCGCTGCGGACATCCATGCCGATGTTCCTGAGTCTGCTTTTGCTCAGGGGTGCAACTCCCAGTCAGGAGGCCGCGAAGTCACCCGAAGTTCAACGTTCAATTTCAACACCTCCCCTGAACCTTCTGGCCGACTCCCCGAATGATGAGTTTCCGGACCTTGTCACAGAGTCTCACATGATCGACTGAGTGGACCAGAAGCTCCCACCGGACATGATCGACCAAAAGCTCCTACACATTCGCCTACAGAGCCCACGCCTGAGACTCCCTTGGACGCGGGCAGGCCAGATGATGCCTTTGATCGCTCGGGGACTTCCAATACTTTCCTGGTTAGTGAGGATGAAGGGTCGCCGTCGCTTCCTATGAAAAGACCTTCTGCGAATAAGGTTTTACCAAAAAAACGGGATCCAGAACCGGGAGAGGAGTTGGAAGGCAAGAAGAAACCTTCCGCGCAGAAGGTTTTACCAACAAAAACGAGATCGTGAACCAGGAGAGGAGGCGAAAGCCGTAATGAAACGACCTGCTTCGCAATCCATTGCCAGTCGTCCATTGTCCAAAGATGCGCAGCCCAAAGCCTTGAAGATAGACCAATGGCCATGGACGGATGTGGGTCCGGAACAAAATGTTAGCCATCAGCGAGAGTGCAAGGTTGGCGATGATTGGATCGCTTTTCGTCTGGATTTGTAACATATGTTTGGGCGGGTGGGGTATTTCATTTTGCTTTGCCCATCTTTTGTTTCAATTTCAGTTTCTTCAGCAAACATAAGTTAAGGTTCGTGAATTTGTGCGAAGTAGCGGCAACTTAGCTGGTGAGAAATGGCGGCTGTATGATCACAAGCCAAGCGGCATCACTCACAAGTCTCTGACCAAAGCTGAAGCCGCTGGCTTTGAGAGCCCTACTCTGACCAATAAGTAGCAGACAGCTCTATCGTCCTGAGACAATTTTACAAAGTGTTTTGCACTGGGCCAGTCACCTCAGTCAAAAAAGGTTTTGGCGTGGAAACAGTGATGCTTTCACCTTCTTGAATGGCATTGCAAGGAGGGAAAGGGGGTGACGACTAGTTAATTTGGTTACACATTATGCCTACTTTAGACTGATTCGCTGGAGGCATGGTGTGATTTCTTTCAGCTCTGAGCGCAAGTCTTGCGCGCACCGTGCTCTCAACGCAAATGGAATTTAAAGAGAAAAATGAGAAAAACTACGAGTGAAGGTCATGAGCAACAAGGCGCACGTTGAGAGTGGTGCAGTGTGGGCCTTGGAAGAAGTCAGTTCTGTTTGTGTTGATGAGAAAACCTAAAAGTTGGCTGCGCAAGGTCGGTGGAGACCTTGACAAAGGGGACTTCATCAAATTCTCCCGGCGCTGGTTTGAAGACGAGCCCTTGGAAGAAACCTTTCCACCAACTAAGGAGGAAGTTGCCAGAGTCTTTTTGCCAAAGATGGAAGGTGATGATAGTGTGTTTTTTTCTTGCACATGCGTGCAGCAAGTTTGCCTTCCGTCGCTGGGCGAGTGTCTTCTTATGCTTGGTCATGGAGTTGATTCAGAACGCCAGTATGGGAGCCTCGGAAACAAACTTGTTCGAGATGTCAGATGTGTCCGCGGAATCTCTTACAAAAAGGTTTTACCGCCCGATTTTTTACTCGTGGGGACTCAGGATTTTGTTTCGGAATATCCTTGCGCTGATTGACAAACGCATGGCCATCAAAATGTTCCTCACCGATGAGAAGAAACTGCCTCTCAACTTGCCGGTTGTCAAGGTTTATGGTAAAGAGTTTGACTTGGAGTGCACAGCAGTCGCTGTGGTTCCAGATCCATGTCTGTCAGTCTCCAGTGAATCCCACTGGGAAGTTGTCACACTCAGGCCGGGACATTGAGTTTATACTATATTCTAAAAAGAACCGTTGGTTTTCGGTCTGGACACAGTCACACTGAGTTGAACCACTCGCCGGCCATTTTGCGCAGGGCCGGAGGTGATGAGCGCAAAGTCCTGAAACTCAGCGTTTGCAGCCACAAGTATTTTGTCCTGGAGCATGCGTTTGCAAGTTTTTCGGCAACACTTCAGGGCTGGCTTTGTCAGGTGTTTCTTTTGTTCGGCCCACTCACTTTGTGAGAATGTTTTTTGCAAGGTTCGGCGCCGAAAGAGACCTGAGACCTGAGAGCTGAGACGACTGGGAGATGAGTCATTGTCAGTTGACTCCAGTTTTGACCTTTCCCTGGGAAAGAGGTATCTGGTTTTGGAAATGTTTGTTCAAAAGGGAAAACCATGATCGTGAATCGTGACTTGTTTAAACTTTGCAGGAGTTGTTACCACTCAGTGTGTGTTTGAAGGACAATCTTCAAACACAAGCGCGGTCGAACAACAGCAGCTTTTGCACGCGCTGCCAAAAGAAATGAGTCGTATTGATCAGAAGGGAGCGGTATGGACAGTAACCGAAAACAAAACGATCTGATTTCACGATGGTTGCCGAACAACATCTGCGCACCTACAAGTCTTGTCGTTGCGCAAATGTAGTTCGGCAACTTTTGATTCAGACTTTTGAAAGCGGAAAGCGGGTTCACCGATGGAACAGCCAAACCAAACTCTACGTGGCAAAGAACTACGTGGCAAAGAAAACAGAGAACAAACGCTATTTGGCCAAGGCACTTGAGCCAAAATAATCGTTAGTTATGAGTTATGAAGCTATGGTAGACATTAAATGAAGGCATGTTCACCCAAGCCTGCCAGACCTGAAACATGATTAGCTCTCTTCAGCATTCTTAGATCTTTCACCACGACCCCTTGAGTGAAGCCTCTGAGTAAGTTAGGTCACTCTTGCTTGACGCGTTTTTCCTAGGCACTCGTCACTTCAGGACACTCTTGCTGCCTCTTGCTTGACACCTTTTGAATGGTAGTGGAGCTAATACCAACAAGCAGCTGTCTACAGCCTTGCTCATGAAGAAACAGCAAAACACCCAGTGCCGCGAAAGCACTTGAATATCGTCGTCGTCGTCTTCCGCCGGAATATCGGCGTCGACGTCCATCTCATCATCTTCTTCATCTAAGTTGATCAGTCAGGTCTTCGCCTTCTTCCTCTGTGGTCTCGGACAAGGACCTCTTCTTAAGACGACGTAGGTTGGTCTCCGAGTCCTTCCACTCATCATCAACGGCGAGGAAGTTGAGCCACTTCTCGGCGAAAAGCTTAGTCTGGCCATGAAGCTGGTGGCTTTCGAGTTTTTCAACGGCTTCATCTCGCCAAGCTTCGACCTCGCGGATCTTAACGTTCTTAAACGCCAGCTTTCGCGTCTCGGCCTTACACTTATCATGGCCCTTGCCCGCAAGTCGGAGTACCTCGCAGTAGAGCTGGGAATAGAAACGAAGGTATGGCTCATCAGGCACCGACATTGCGGGCGTGGATGTCGGAACGTCCCAGAACTTGGTAGACACACAGCAGTTGTTCCGAACATCCCACGCGAGGCTGAATAGACCGGACGGAATAACGTCCTTGGTCAAATAGTATCCGTTCTTGCTCAGGCAGAAATTCTCCATAAGCTCTGGATGCTGTTCCAGCGTTGCCTTCGAAAGCACGAGTACGACGTTCGCAGTTGACCGAATATGTTCATGTGAAAGGAGAAGGCCATTGATCGGCAAAAAGTGATTCATATTGCGTCGCTTGTTGCCGGCGATATTGCCGCCTCCAGGAAGGAGGCCATACTGCAGAATCGAGCGAAGGTGTCTGTACTCGGTCATGTGAACCAGCGTGTCCGGCATATCGGAGAGCTGGCATTTCTGGATTTTCAGGGCTGCAGCCGGAATATCGGCTTCACCTGAGTGGCTGGAAACAGCTTGTACAAAGACATGAGCGGCCTTGAATTGCTTGTACAAATCGGCAAGTTCTTTGCGGTCCTCAGCCGTCATACCAGCTGGATGGATCCAGGCCTCAGGGCGTCCGATCAGTTTTTCGCCCTTGTTGTAATCGGAAGTGCTCAGAATCCCGATCTGGTACCTGCCTTTCTGATTAAACATAATGGTAAAGGCTAGCGGGAGCAGCATGTTTACGCGCTCAACAGAATGTTCGCACCATTTCTGGAGCTGAGCCTTTTGCACAACCGGAAAAACCGGTTCCTCCTTGGACATGCAGGTATGAGCCCAGAGGCTTAGCATCTTCCTGAACCGTGCCCCAGCCATTAGCTCAAAAACCATGAGTGACTTGTCAGCATGTGTCCATCCGGAATGTCGGAGAATAAAGCTGAGCTCACACGAAATTTTATCATACAGTTCACTCTCGAAAATACGGTTAAGAGCTTCGTTGCTGATCTTAAAGAAACCGGACCAGATCATCCAACAGTAAACAAAACAAGAGCTGACTCCGAAGTCGGGGCGGTCATATGCTGAGTCCATTCCGCTGGGGCGAGGTCCTGCGTCACGGCCGTTGCCTTTGCTCTTGCCCTGGCCGGAATGTCGGCCTTCGGCATTACGTGATTCGTCTCTCTTGCCTTTTCCGCCGGAATGTCGGCGTTCGGCTTGCTTGCTGGGAGAACGACGGGATGAGGAGCCGCGAGCGGCAGCCTCTTCTTGCAGGTCGTCCATTTGGGTGACGATGATGTTCTTCCCGTGTTCAACTGTGTGCAAGCGATATCCTTTAAACTCATAAGGCTCCTGACGGACTCCCTTGCGACGAACGGTCTTGATTGATGGCATTTCGCGAGAAGGAGATCGTTTTCCTCAGCCTTTGCCTTTCGGTTGGCCACGACCGGAATATCGGTCAGTGTCCCTATCAGTATCTGGTGAGATACTTATACACGTGCCACATCGACATAACGTCGAGCGGCGTGAGCGAACCCTATAGATCGGGTAAGACAAAAAATTGTCCTACGAAGTTAACTCATATTTTTCTTTTTTGATTAAAAATGAGGGGTAACTTTTTTTGACGAAAAAGATAACTTGTTAGAGTTATAACTTTTTGAATTAACTTCTTTCAGAGGTAACTCATTTGAGTTAACTTTTTTGCAACAAATATTTGTAGTGTAGAGATGTTGTTTGTTCCTTGAGTCATTGATCCATGGCTGCTCTGGCCTATGTTTTCATTGTGCTTAGTTGAGTTTTGCAGCAGATAGGATTACTGGTTGGACTGTCTGTAGGATTACTTTTGGTCCTTCATGTTGGACTTGTGTACAGGATTACTCTGTCAATCACATGTGCTTTCATGTAGGATTACTTGTTTTGCCGGAAAAAGTGCTTGTTCAGGCAGCCTTTCAAGCTCATAAAGGTTTAAGTGGGGGCTCAGCAATGGTGGTGGCAGAGTTGGCCCTGCTGACCATGACTGTGCTGATGGTGCTGATCTACTTGCAACTGCAAAGGCTGGTGAAGGTGCAGGAGGTCATCAGGGACTATGTGGTGAGCTCAAAGGTGCTACTTTCAATGATGGTGCAACCAGAGCCAACAGAAGCAGACTTGCAAAGATGGAGGTGAAAAAAAGCTCTGGTCTGTGCGCTGTACACAGGTCTTAGGATTACTGTTCTCTCTCTCTCTCTCTCTCTTTCTCTCCTTCCCTCTGTGTGCATTAGGAGTATTTCTGTGCTTAGGATTACTGCTTTCTTTTCCAGCCTTAGGATTACTTGTGCGCTTGGGCCTTCAGCTTCTGCTCTTGTACCTAGGGTTATTTCTCTGTGCAAACTCAGTGACTGAAAGGTGTTGATCTTCAGGTGTCTTTCCTCAAGTGGAGAAGGCATCAGTGCCATGAAGAGACTCACCCCTGATCCAGCAGTAGGGGTGACAGACCTGATAGGGCCTTTGCGCAAGATGTGTGAGCAGGCAGGAACCTAGGGAGGTTGCTGGAAGGCGAACAGAGGGAAACTATGACATGGAAGTCTACAATAGATGCAGAATGGCTGGGGCAAGCAGGACCTCTTCAAGGTCCACAAGAATGGGGTCTTGTCTTCAAAGAAGACAAAATTGGCACTACTACAGAAGATCCAGGGCACTGTGCACCGCATGAGCTTCTCCAAAAGGGATGATCAAACATGGCTGGATTTGTGTGATGAGCAATTGAGGATTTGTGCATCCCAGTACAGGGAATTGAAAAAACAATGTAAAATACCAGAGGGCAATGAAGAAAGCCAGCAATGAGGAGAACGAGTATGTGGACAGTGGACAGGGTCCTGGACATGCTGGACTTCAACCAGGTGGCGGCAGAAGAGAAGACAGGTGATGTAGAAGAGAGGCCATGTGACAAAGCAGCACCTGTGAAGGTTCCTGCCTTGCAAGATGAAGATCTTCCTGGCCTGGTCATCTTCCAGAACATTTTGCAGAAGGCCAGCAGTGACCCTCATTCACCTGAACCTGTCAGGGCCAAGCAAACCAAAGTGGACTTGAAGAGCCAGGAGGACAACAAGAAAAAGCAGACTGCTATGGTTCCTGACTTGGAACAGGCCATTGACAATAGGCCATTCAATGATGGCAATAGACCCAACTACAGACCAAGGTGAGCCCTGAGAGCAGGCTTGTTTTCAAGCTTGTTGGCCTTGGGTAGGAATACTTTCTCTGTCAAATGTAGCTGTCACATGACACAAATATGGGTACACAAATATGGGTATTGCATGTGCAATGTTTGTGCTTTTCAATCTCTTTTTTGCAATCTTTTTGCTGAAAACTGATACATATACATATATATATATATTTCCAAGAACTTATAAATTGAAAGTTTGTTGAAAGTTTACTTGAAACTTTCACTTTTGAAATTGAACCTTTGACCGGTCCAGTTGAAACTTTGACAGTGCCAAAGTGAAACTTTGACACTGTCAAATTGAAACTTTAATAACATCTCAAATTGAAACTTTAACATTGGCAAAAAGAGTGTTTATATTTATTTTAAATTTGCAATTTTTTTTGCAATGTCAAAGTTTCAATTTGAGATGTCAAAGTTTCAATTTGACAGTGTCAAAGTTTCACTTTGAAATGTGAAAGTTGCAATTTGGAAAGTGAAAGTTTCAAGTAAACTTTCGACAAACTTGCAATTTACAAGTGCTTGAAAGCATGCAAAATTCTATTTTCTCAGCAAACACAAGATAGATTATATCGAAATGATTGCAAAGAATACAACTTTTGCAAAATATTTAAAGTGTTACACATGACAAACTGTGCACATTTTATGTAGGATTACTGCTGGTGCCTTGGTGGTAGGATTACTGCTTCAATTTCCCACAGTGGCTGGAATGGCCTATTGTCAATGCCAGGCATGGCTGCTTGTCCAAAGGTGGTACAAAAACCACTCACATTCTTATTTGGACAGCCTACCAAAAGTTCTTCCAGCCTGGTGGTGGTGGCACACTGGATTCTGTCTTTAGAATTATTGCCTGGAGCTTCAAATCTTTGTTCGATGGCAGATGGCCATCAAAGAACTGGAAGAATGAGAAGTGCCTCTGTGTCCGTTTCAGAAGTTTTTTGTTTCTTTGGATTTGTGTTTGGCTTGTAGGATTATTTGTTTCATCCATCCATAGGATTATTTGTGCCATCTTCTAGGCTTGTAGGATTTCTTGTGTTTCAATCAAGGTTTTATGGCCCACAGCATCTCAGGTCTGGGATGGAAGCAGGCTTGCCATTGGCAGCTGGGTACTCTGCCACATTGATAGCTTTGGCAGGAGATTTGGAATACTTCAATCACTCCCCAAGCCTTCCACGATGGATCTCAAACACCTCTTGTTGCCCTCATTGCAGGGCTACAAAGCAAGGTGCTTACTCTTGGACCGACTTCAAAAGCTCAATGGCATGATGTCATTTGGACTCCTCAGAGTTGGCACTTGTGGGACCACCGCTCTCCATGCAGGGTGTTTAAGGAGATACCTGGTCTGTCAGGGCTCAATGCAGCGCTCGACTACATGCACATCAAGCACCTGAACACAGATCAGTATTGTCTCTCAGCAGTACTGTACTATTTGACGCACATATGGCTGCCTGGATCACCTGCTGAAAACGCTGTCCACATTTGGAAGCAAGTTCAAGAAGCCTATAAGGTTCTTGGGGTCAGTGACCGCTTCTATGACCTCAGCAAGATCAATATGTTTGTCAAAAAGAACACTTGCAAGCTCAAGGGCAAGGCAGCCCAGGTCAAAGGCCTGGTGTTGCCTTTGGCCCATGTGTGGGAAGCACATTACAACCCACATTGCTTGGTCCATCGCAAAATCAGAGCAATGCTCATTGCAAATGCTACCATGGAGTTGCTCATGACAAAGAACAAGAAGCTGACAGCATTTCCAAGTGCTGATGCCTTGAAGATGAGGAACCAGTGCCATGTGATGGCACACCTTATGTGGGACCTCTCTCAGCACTTTGCAGCTGAAGAAGGCCTTCCACATATGTTCATATGCACCTCCAAGCTGCACATGCTGGTGCACATCTGTGAATATACCCAGGCTGTACCCCCAAGACTCTTTTGGTGCTACAGTGCTGAAGACTTCATGGGGGTCATCCGCAAAATTTGCAGGAATTGTGCCAAAGGCACTCCCCCGCTTCAGGGTGGACAGAAAGCTTTGGAGCATTGGCGAATGCTCTTTTCTCTGCAGCTAGAACAGACCTGACAAAAAGAACAGCTGACATGCATGCATGAAATTTGGCGCAGTGCATAGGATTACTCTGTTAGATGTGCATAGGATTACTGTTCCACATTCATAGGATTACTGTGGCAAACCTCAGTTTTGTTGAACAGCAAGCGCATGATGTCAACAACAAAGCTTTTGCTTGCACTTGTTTCTTCAAGCTTTTGCTGCCAAGTTTCAAATTTAAACACTTGCAGAATCTTCCCTTTGCTTGAAAAAGCATCGCAATTAAACATTGAAAAATAGACATTAACACACTCAAAAGTCAAACTTTCAATTTCCTACCTCTCCAAGAGTTATCTAAAAAGTTAACTTTTTTAACTTTTTAAGGCAATTTTTTTTATCAAAAAAGACAAAAAATATGAGTTAACTTTTTAGGACAATTTTTTTGTCTTACCCGATCTATAGGGAAAGTGGAGTCGTCCATTGGCAACGGAGGCGACTCACTCTGACGCGATTGACTCACGCTGCGTCTGGACCGTAATACCGGTCGCGCAGGAGGTGCCTGGCTCGGTGATCGAGGCCGCGATTTGGCGGCTGGCGCCTCGGAAGCGGCTGCTGGAGTCTTGCGGCCCATGCTGATCACAGAGACTAAATATGCTCAAGCTTGTCTTCGTCCGTAGTAGTCGTGCTTGAACCAAAAATGCAGTCGCAGACACAAATTTTCTTGAGACAAATTCACAAGAAAATAATCACGCAGCATACATGAGCGAATACACACAGTCTGACAGTCTGATATGTCTTCAGCAAAGAATGTGAGAACAAACTGCGGATCCGGCAGGTTATTAATGACCCACTCAGTTATGAAGGCCTTGTGTTTCACAAGTGGGCGGAAAGGTGGGTGTACATCAACCTGTCGAAGTGTTCCTGTCTCTATGCTTCTTACAAGTTCGTCTGGTTTAGCGGTGTGTTTAGTTAACGGATCAGTGAGACAGAATTCGCTCGCGACATGACTTAAGTCGTCGATGTTGCCAGTGTTGCTCTCGTGTCTGAGCATCTGAATGAGGTGATGTGTTTCTTTTTGCTCTGTGAGATGTGTGGTTTGCGCAGTGGTGACCAGGTTGTTTGCATCAGTTCGTAGGTGTATGGGAAGAACCTGACCACTGACATCGGCCCACAGAGCACGGAGGAAAAGACAGGTACCAAAACACTTCATCAAAGCTTGAAGTTCGGCGACAGCGGTAGACTGAGCAGTAGTTGTTATTTTATGACTCTCATAGTCTATGATAGATCCACGTGCGGCTGAACTATCTTCTTCTCGGAATATCGAGAGTTATATGGCTGTCTTTCCTCAGCTAGATAGATGACATGTGCACGCTGACTGGACTTGTCACTGTTGTTGCGGTACGATGCATCAGGGAAGCCAAGGATGCGCTGATTGCCCTTGAGTGGCCAGAATCGTGCATCAACATATTGGCTCTTCATCGTACGGACAACCTTGTTGATCTCGCGAACATCTCCTATGGTCGGACTCGAAGCAGCGGACGCACATCGTGAGAACTTGTAACACAAATGAACTTGCGTTCGACTCTGTAACCACAGTTGAGCTGGCCTAACACAGAGCGATAAGCAGTATGCATTTGAGGATTGCAGGCAATGTTGTCCTTTAGATGTTTCTCAAACTTGATTTCCTGGACAGCATCTACAGCAAGCTTCTGGTCACAAGACATGTACGGTCCATGCTTGTCATGAGTCTTCCATATTATGCGCTGACCAACGAACATGATGTCATTCTTGTCCTCCGAGCCTACGTTGAAGTCCTTACGAACGCTAGCGAGCACCTTGTCTGCAAAGACCTTGTCTCCGGCCATGAACAAGTCATCGACGTGAAGACAAATGAAACCATGTGGCTTCCGGCCTTGTGCATTATTCTGTGCTACTACAGGGTCTAGCAGCATGTCAAGGGCTTCTTGAACAGGATCAGTGGACGTAGACGTCTTTCGGAAAGACTTGGACAATGAGGAGTCCTTGGATGACATCTTGTCGCCGTACAAAATGTAGGTGCATCGGTCGGCGCGAGTTGGCACAAGTCCATAGCTAAGAAGTGCTTTATCGACAACCTGCCACCATCTGCGTGGTGCATCGTTCAGACCGTATGCGGACTTCTTCATCTTTGCTCCTATGTGTGGCGGATATCCGCATTCGGACGGGATCTGGCACATGATGTCTCCAGATTCATCATATGCTTCGCCTTGTAGGAAGGCGGTCTTCAGGTCCATGTGATATAGATCCCATTGGCAATTTGCTGCAAACTGAGTTGCACATCGAAAACCTGAACGACTGGCTGGAGGAGTGTCGGTTTGCTGGGTATCCTTTTGTCTGTCTTGGAAACCCTTTAGCGCCCAGCGTGCCTTGCACTTAAGGAAATTTCCGTCCTTATCTTTCTTGATTGTAAGGGCCCAGCGACCAGCAACAAGGACCCAGCGACCAGCAACATAATTTCTAATCTTAAAGTTTACGCATGTCAACAAGCTCGAAAACATCATTATCGAACCAGGACTTGCATTCGGCTTGCTTGGCTCCTAGGAATTGCTTAGCAAACTGGCGCTTTTCTTGCTGGGTCGCTTCTTTGCGTTTCTTACCGACGAGATAAGAGAACTTATCTTCCTTGGATTGATACAAGGTCAGGAAGACTTTGTCTTCCTCCGTAATGCCGGAGTAGACTTCCTGAATGTCGGCATAGTTCTTACGAATCAGCTGACGTTTCTTCTGTGTCAAGTACGAAGACGGTGATACCAAGTCAGCATAGGACGGAATCGACTTAAGATCAACGGGTGAGCCATCAATGTATCTGGGTACCCTACGTTTTTTACTTATAAGTCCTGTTACGGTACTGATTCTTATATGTAACATAAGTATACTTATGCAACTTATGGACCTTACCAAATAAGTAGCACAAGTGCGACGGTAAGTAGAACATGGTGTGTTTTTGAAGGTTTTGATTCTTTCTGTCCGCATGTAAATTTCAACCAGATGCAGCCGCATAAAAAAGGAAATATCGATATATATATTTTTTGTTTGTTCGTGTGAACTGGTCGGCGCACGGACCTTTTTCTGCCTGCTGCCATCTCAGGCTCACCCAAGAGTCAAGCAGGTCTTTTTTCAGGCTCTCACCCTGCTGCCATCTCAGGCTCACCCTGCTGCCATCTCTTTTCTCTGTCTAGGATCGTCTGCTCCACCTCTTCGTCGATTTGTTGTGTGCTGGTGCTGCGGACCTGGACTTTGTACAAGGTTGTGCCCATGACCGCGTCGACCTCTTGCGGACATTTGCGGACTTCATCCTCTGCGTACCCGAGTCTGGTCCAATACTCCAAAGGTCGCTCTTTGGAGGTAGACTCACGAACGATCCGGTGCGTGCGCTGGCGGATCACGCTCTCTTTGAGGCATGCACGCACAGTCTTCCAACTCAGGCGACTGTTTGGGGCCGCAGCCTTGAGTGCTCTTCCCTGTGTGAAAAAGTCCTTCAGCCTTTCCGGCTTCAGGTCCAACGACCCCACATTCCTCTTCAACTGCACCTCCAAAGAGTGGCAGTCGGTGCACCAGCGCTTCCGGCAGCGGGAGTCCGCCGCCCCGACGGTGGCGCAGTAGCTGCAGGCTGCCGGAGCTGCCATGGTTGGACTTGGCCGCGGAAGTCTGTCTGGGGCCGTCTATATATAGAGATCTCTGCGGAGGTGTCGGAGACATAACACAAGAAACAAACAAAAACGCGCGGCGCGGCAGCCCCAAACCACCACCAAAAAAAGCAAGAAAAACCAATATTTCCCGTCCCGGTCTTCCCACAAATTTCCCACAAATGATTTCATAATTTTTCAATCTTCCAACAATTTCCCTTATTAAAGGTAATTGGCAGGGTCTTTCCCACATTATACCTCTCAAAAGTTTTCCCACAAATTCCCACAATTGTCCCACAATTCCGGGCACTCCGTTTTCTTGCGCCCAGTAAGTGCTCTATAGTGGCCCAATGAGCCCGATAGAGGCTTCCAGCTTATACACCTCAAAGACCAGCACACCCACAGCGTCCAAGGCGTGCAAGATGTCGGTCGCCAGCTGTCGCGCAGCCACGTCGGGCTCCTTCGATTGTCTGATGACCTCGTGGGCCACAGTCATGCCGTCGTAGACAAGCCGGCCTAACTCGCGCTTCCGCTCCGGGTCCAGCCGCCAGAGACAGCGCCAAGCGCGCGGCGCCGGTAGCTGCTCTGGGTCGATCTCGCGCAAGGGCGCCCTTGGCTTCTTCTGCTCGCAGAAGTAGCCTTCGCACGCTATGGCCATGGTCCACAGAGGCACGGTCACGCGTTGGATTCCACAGTGCTCCAACATGACCTTGCAACACTTGTGAGTTTTTTCTCCAAGTCCAACTCCAACAGTTTGGACCGGAGGAAGCGGAGCTGCGTTTCCTTCTCGCGCATCGTCATGGCGCACTATGCGTTCACTCCGGTGCTCTGCGTCGTCCAGCTGCAGGCCAACGCAGTCAAGCAAGCGAACGCGCCCTCAGAAGGCAGCCTCAGGCCCAGCTGGTAACAACGCCCGAAAACATGTTCCGCCTTTGCCATGGTGGCCAAGTCCGATCGCTGCAGCTGCGCCCAGACCGCCTCGCTGAGCATATGTGCTGCGTGCGTGTAGTCTTGCACAGGTCGCCGCGCGCGCGTCTCCATGCCTCCCACAAATATGCTCCCACAGTCTATATTTGCTTGAGCCCAACTGCCAGGACAACCCTCAAAACCTCTATTCCCATAAGTAGGATAAGTAGAAAATAAGTAGAACATGGTTTTTTTCGTCATACTTACGTTCTACTTATAAGTATGCAAAATTATATAGGCACGATAAGTTCCAAGTGATTTTTTGTAGAACTTACGGCACTTATCATGGTTATTACTAAGATATATGTCTAGTTGTCCCATTATAACTAAGTTATAAGTATAAAAAACATAAGGTACAGTGAACGAACCAGTATTGCTGCAGAGTTTCTGTTCTGCTGACAGCTAACTCCAGCTGTTTTCGTCCACGAACAGATCATTGTAGTCGATGGTCTCGGCTGATTCAGCGTCATCTTCTTCTTCTTCCACATCAACTGCAACGTCATCCGGAATATCGTCATCAACAATCACTGCTTCCGGAGATTCAGGTGACACTGGCTGTTCGTCGTCGTCTGCGATCGGCAAATTGTGTCCGGATGGCTGAGCATCGGGATAATAGCCGTTATAGGGTCTTTCATTCCAAATGAACACATGTCAAGAGCACCATAGGTAACACCATGTTATGACAAAAGACGTTGGAAACATCTGGTGTACCATAAGGCTGATGAGAATTCTCAATGATGAAAGGGCCTCCGTGTTCAATTTGGAATATGGCAATACGACAGCAGAACTATAACGTTGGAAGAAACTTCTGTCTGCGCTGATCTCTTGCGATGCGATCGTGGATATTGGTCATCTGACTCCAAGGAGCACAGTGCGGCGCCATAAAGAAGACTTTAGGCTTCTGTTTCTCGATGATCTCCATCGTCCTCTTACGACCGTCACTGGTCAAGATATCAAAACCTGTTCGGAGGTCAATAGGTTGTCCAACACGCAAAACGTTCATGGCAGCTACTTGACTCAACCGTGCTGAACCTGCGAACAACTCTAGAAAATCAATCTTGCCAGTCATGACAGGTTGCCATGCAAAAGAGGAATATGTAAAGCCTTCCACACCGATCTGGGCTCCGTCGCTCTGGACTAAAGAGCTTGCGTGGTCAGAGACCGGAATATCGGTCCGTGCACTCTCACAACTCAGTAGTGCAACTGGGTCGAGCGGCGCCTCAACATCTTCAATCGGGTTGATGTCCTTTCTAATCTTGCTGATGTTGACCTTCAGGATTCTGGTGTCTAAGTCTATACCAACCATACTGCCGTCAGAACTGATAACCTTGCCTTTGATCCATTTTCCGCTATGGGTTCCATCGGATTTTACCTTGGATTTGTCCTCCGTCCAATAGTAAATCTTGTCACCAGGATAGAATGGACCATTACTCAACTGAAGTCTTGCAGAAATGTCTCTTCTCAGATCGTCCTATTTTTTTGCTTCTAAGTAAGACTTCATGGCAAGTGTTCTGAGGGCATCAATGTTCTTTTCAGGAGAAAGAAGTGAAGCTGTAAGCTGTTCAGGTGTCATGTTCTCTGGATACAAAAGATCTGCAGGTCGTCTTCCAACCAAATGCCATCTCCAGTGGAGATACTCCACCAAAAGTTACCATAGAGTTTCTGGCAAGTGATGCTTGTCTGAGGAGTTGACGATACGTAATCTCGTATCTGGATGGATCCTCAGTCACGGCCTCAAGCATCAGGGCGATCTGCTTTTTGTACATGCGAACAGCTGCTTCAGCTCTGTTTGGCCATGGAGTACCAGGTCCTAAAGTAATCAGTCGGATGTTCTTCCTGTTGTAAAGGGCTTCAAGTTCAGTACCCATGAAACTTTGATCACCGACAAGATACTTAGGATTCAACTGGTATGTTTAAATTTACTCCAAAAGATGGCCAATAGTTTCTGCTTCAGTCTTGCCGTTACACACGTAAGCAGTGGTCATAGAAGTTGCACCATCATAGATGATCAGGAAAAGAAGTTTAGACTTCTCATTGAGAGCTAGTTCGCCATGATCAATGAAAGTGAGTTCCCCAAACGTTTCGCTTCTCATACCTGAAATTCTTGATCTTGAAGGTGCCATTTTGACTTCTGACATGTGTCACACTGCTTAACTTCCTTTTCATACTCTTCATAGATCTTAGCAGGATTCTTTAAAGCTGATGTGCGTTTCTTAAACTGCTCAGTTGACATGTGATAGTGCTTCAAATGCAGTTTCAAGAGTTCCGTAGGGTGAGACAGCTTTTCATGAATTCTCTGCAATGCTAGCGGCAATGTTACTGAAACCTTTGGTGCCTTCTTCTCTCTATGGACTGTTGTTGGTATTGGTTTCACGTCTGCCTTTGTCTCTTCCTTTGTTTCTTCCTGAGGATCTGGCTTCACCGGCATGTCTAGTGCTGCTGGAGGTACGTCTGGCTTCTCTGCTCCTGAGCCCGAACTTGGAATGATCGAATGCTCAAATGGCGTACCAAAATCAGGTGACTTTTCTGTCTTCCGGTATGTCGGAGGTGTCACCGTCTTAGCCGGTGGAGGCATCAAAATGAGCTTCGATGGCGGATCGATCTTGGCATCTCCACTTGCGACTTTCTTCTCTGGACTTGGCCGGAATATCGGCTGCCGACTTGTCTTCCTTCACTTCGGATGTTTCTGCCTTCTTGCATCCGTCCTTGTATTATGTGTGCTTACGATGCTTGCCATTACAGGCTGGACATGATGCATACGAAGGATTAATCGCTGTGAAGCTGTGGTTCGGCTTTCGACTTTCGAACTGAGCTGGCAAACATCATGATGTCTAAGACATTATGGTTCGAAGCTCGAAGTGCTCACTGGCAGCGAAAATCGCTTCAAGCCGAACAAGGGACAAGTCAAATAGTCGCCGACTGGAGTATGCTCTATGGACATGCGAAGGTTCCTGAGCTGCTCAACGCTAAAAAGGATTGGAACATCGCCTTGATCCAAGGTATCTACCGCTGTTGTGATCCACCCTGTGGGTGACGGGTCGTTCTGGAAGTATATTACCAGCTTCTCTCGGACGTTGGACTGTTCACCGTTGGCAAATGAAAATCGACTTGACGAAGGCTCAAAAGAGAAATCAATCTTGGATGCATTGTAGTGTCTCTTACATGCCTTCACTAGACGCATGATGGCGGTCCTTGACCCCATTGCTCTTGTACATGCAGCCGCTGCCGATGATCGCGTAAGTCGGGCGGTACCTCAAGTTGATGTACTCTGAAAGCAAAGCGTGGTGAAATCCATTGTCAAAGTTGACAAATGAAGAACAGAAGCGTGGGTCAACCACTTCAGAACAACCGGAATGTCGGTAGTCTGTACTGCTACCGGCAGGGTTTAGATGATACCGATGTGAAACATGTTCTTCACCAGTCATCTCTACTGCATTGTATCCGGAATATCGGAAATCTGCTGACTGGTTCAACTGGCCAGGCCTTGGCTCTGAGCTATGGTGCTCTTCATCTTGCGGTCTGTCCGTCTGTCCGTCCGCAAAGTATGTCCATTGGTGCCAAGTGGCTTCATTTGCCTGCCAGACTTCTTCTGGATAGTACTGGTCTGTGTGGTATCCATACGGGTCCCATGACCAATTTGCTTCATGTGCACTCCAGGTTTCTTCGGCACTAGGATTCGGCTGAGCAGATGAAGGCTCTTCGGTGGTTGCAACATTGGATTGCTGAGATGGATTCTGTTGCTTGCTTTTTCCTTTGCCATTGAATGCGTCTTTTCCTTTGAAACCTTTCTTTCCACCTTTCTTTCCTTTCTTGCCTTTTCCATAGAAACCTGAGTTGTCAGGGTACTCTGCATAGTGCGCCCCTGCACCTTTGCCTCTACGACTCACAAAGCCGGGTCTTCTTCTTTTTCCGCGGCTTTTACCTTTGCCGCCTTTGGA